CCTGCATCACCACCAGATACTTCGAGGCAAAAGTCTGCCAGGTTCCATGGAGGGGAATACTGATTCTTGCAATGCATCTAATGTCCATTGGAATGAGCCTATGACGCATGAAACAGTAAAGAAACACGAACAGCGAAGAATCGCACTTCGCACCGTCCCAGTTTTTCTGAAACATGGAGGCAATCGTTTGCAAGCTAACTGCTTTTTAGATGAGGGTAGTGATACCACCTATGTAAGCGAAGAAGTGGTGGAAGAGTTAGGTTTGGAAGGTCCAAAAGAGAGAGTTACTATTAAGGTTGCAAATGATCAGAAGGTTGATTTAATGTCAGCCACTATGGAGATTGGACTAGAGAGTTTGGATGGTCGAGTAAACACTGTGATTGTTGCGAAAACATCACACAGTATTTCTGGTGGCATGAAACCGACTAACTGGTTAGAGATAAGAGATCAGTGGAATGGAAACATCTGAAGAACATTCCTTTCCCTAAACTAGGGAAGAGAAGCAAAATCGACATGCTCATTGGTTCAGATTATTACAATTTGCTATTTCCTATGAAGAAAGTTCGTAGAGGCGATGGTGAGCCAAGTGCAAGACTGTGTCCACTAGAGTGGACAGCTATTGGTACCATCGATGTGTGTGAGCAACATGAGTCATGTAGCACAGGATTTCTTCACACCTATCGGATGCAGAAGTCAGACGGTAATCACAGGAAGCTTAACAATCTGATGGAACAATTTTGGAACCTTGAGGCTATTGGCATTACCCCTCGAGTAGATCGACAGCTGACTCCAGATGAGGGGCTAGCGGTCAACAAGGTCAACGAGTCCATGAGATTCATCGGAGAGAGATATGAGGTTGCTGTGCCTTGGAAACAGGACAGACCACAATTGCAATGAAACCGACAGATGGCTGAAAAGCGCCTTCGCTACGTCGAAAAGAAGTTGATGCAGGATAAGAGCCTCGCCCATGCGTATCAATCAACGATTGATGACTACATCAGGAAGGGATACATCCGAGAAGTTCCTGAGATGGAGCCAAAACCAGCCTCAGAATGGTTCCTTCCACACTTCCAGTGGTTCGCCCAGAGAAGTCCACAACCAAAGTTCGGATCGTATTGGATGGCTGGGCTCTGCAAGACGGAAAGAGTTTAAACACTGAATCGTTACCAGGTCCTAAGTTGCAGAGTGACATTGTGGACATTTTAGTGAAGTTCAGGAAAAGAGCCATTTGCTTTAGTTGGTGACGTGACACAAATGTATCATCAATTAATTCTCAGACCAGTTGACAGGCCACTGCACAGGTTTCTCTACAGGAAATTCGACTGTGATGATTCACCCAGGGTGTTTGAATTTCAGAGTTCATTTTCGGAGGTTGTTATTGCCCATTTTGTGTTCAGTACGTTTGGCAAAAACATGTAGAATTTAACATGAAGACGTACCCATTGGGAGCTAGAGCTGTTTTAGAACATTGCTACATGGATGACCTCATGCTTTCAACACCCACTGTAGAGGATGCTAAAGAAACGAGGAAGCAACTGACCAAATTAAGCGACAAGGCTGGATTTCACATCCGCAAGTGGGTATCGAACGACGTTAGTGTGATTGCCGACATAAAGGAAGAAGACAGAGCTTCTGAGATCGATTTAGAGAAGAGAGAGTTGCCGACTACCAAGACCCTTGGTGTCCTGTGGAGCACAACAGAGTACAAGTTCTTTTTCCGGCACTCTTTGCAATTTGATGGATTTGAATTCACCAAAAGAAATGTCAAAAAAGACAGATACCTTGTACGACCCACTAGGTTTCTTGTCGCCTTACATAATCAGATCGAAGTTGTTGATGCAGAAAGCATGACTAGAAGCAGGGGCATGGGATGATTTGTTGCCGAAACACCATCAGCAAGAGTGGATTAAGTGGTTTCGAGAGTTGAATGACCTTAAACTAGTGAAAATCCCAAGATGTTTGAAAGACCTCGTGGCTAAGGTGGTGGCGTTGAGTATCCATACATTCACAGATGCCTCCGAGAGCGCATATGCAGCCGCAGTCTACGCACGTCATGCCTATGAAAATGATGATGTTACTGTTCGATTGATTGCATCTAAGTCCCGGCCTGCGCCTTTGAAAGCTGTTAGTATCTCCAGACTGGAGCTACTAGGTGCGTTGATTGGTACACGACTAACATTGCAAATTTTCCCAGCCCTCAAGATCTCGACAGACGAGGTGACGTACTGGGTGGACAGTATGAATGTGGGATATTGGATCCGAGGTCAAAGAAGAGAGTACAAGCCATTCATAGCTCATCGTGTGGGGGAGATCCACGAGTGTTCAGTCCCTAGTCAGTGGCGCTATGTACCAACCAACGCAAACCCCACTGACTATGGGACAAGGGGCCTGACAGTTGAAGATTTACCAAGCACAGGTCAGTGGTGGAATGGGCCTGAATTCTTGAAGAGGGCAGAAGAAGAGTGGCCAGTGTGCAAATTTGATCTACCAACCTCTGAAGAGGGTCTTGAGTTAAAAAGAGGAAAGGAAGTTTCAGCGAAGGAGACTTGTAGTTATGCAACTATCAAGGAAGGTGTAGAGAATATTGATAGTGAAAATGCTAGTGAGGAAGGTGCTTGGCGGTTAAATCCCTCGAGGTATTCAAAATGATTTCGGTTAAAAAGGAAAGGAGACCTGGAATTCGGAACTCTATCTACAGACCTATTGCTGCCATCTAGAGTTGGCGTCGTCCTTAGATACTGATACATTTCTTAACGCGTTTGTACGGATGGCTGGGAAAAAGGGATGGCCTCAGCAGATGTTGAGCGATAATGGAACAAACTTTGTTGGAGCGTCAAATGAATTAAAGGACTTAGTCACGGCAATTGACCAAGACAAGGTGCAACGCATGACTTCCAACAAAGGAGTAACATGGAAATGGAATCTGCTTGATGGGCCGCATTTTGGCGGAGTCTTTGAGTCAATGATAAAGTCAGCTAAACGTGCTATAGCTGCGGTACTCAGTGATGCAAAAGTAAGTGATGAGGAGCTGGAGAAGATTTTCGTTGGAGTAGAAAGCCTACTGTGCTCGGGACCTCTCACAACTGTGAGTGATGAACCAAATGACAACTTAGTGTTGAATCCAAACCACTTTCTGATCGGACAGATGGGAGGCGATTTTGTACCCGAGAGTGTAGACAGTACACCTTTCAACGTAAGGAAGCGTTGGCGAAGAGTCCAAGAGCTTACGAGACACGTTTGGAAGCGGTGGATGCGAGAGTATTTACCGCATATTGGATCGAGTCCAAAATGGTTCTTCCCTGTGGAAAACATTCAAGTCGGAGATGTTGTTGTTGTTATTGACCCTAATGCTACAAGAAGAGACTGGACAGTGGGACGAATCGAGCAAACGTATCCTGGACCAGACGGACTTGTGAGACTCGTGTATGTGCGAGTAAAGAACAAGGTCCTAAAGCGACCGATCACTAGAATCTCCGCTGGAGATTCAGTAAAGATGACCGAATCTAATGGATCGGTTTATTTGAGTTAACGACATTTTTAGAACCTGGACAGTTTTAGTTATGACTTGTTCGAATTTCAGATTCCTCTGCTATTCGGGAGGGAAAGATTGTTGTGACCATCCGGGAACTGCCTGGCGGTTACTTTGTCCCGTGTGGCTTTTCGGGTAGAGATAGGTTTTCAGAAGAACGTTTTTGAATCGATGTATAAGGATTTTACAGTCATTAAATTTCGTTGTGTTGGTTAATATTGTATTTAACAACTGTCATATTACGTCATTTTAAATGCTCCCATCGGGCCTCGGGAGCTCAAAAGAAATTTTTTTTGGGATTCGCCATATTTTGTACTTGCGAGTTGTCACGTAGTGCTCGTTGCGTTGTTAAATAAAGAACTTTGAAGGCAATATTTTATCAAATACAATAATATTTATTAGGATATCAACTAAAACAACGTTACGATATTGCACACAAACGTGGGCTTGGCAACTATTTCTTCTGGGAACAAGTTGTATCCTAGTGGACATACATCCAAAGCGAATCCATTAGGATCAGACGACATTTCTTTTAAATATTAAACATTAAGGCTGGTCACAGCTGCAGTATTTAAAAAGTTACTAGAGGAGCTCCTGATTGTGATACAGCAGTGTCCTGTCTCAGACTTTCCTTTCAAAGTATCAACTAGAAACAGCTCTTTCGCATCTATTAACTTACTTGTTGAAAAGCTTTATACTCGCCACAAATATCATGAAACCCCATAATTTGATCCAGCAGTATTTTTTTGCTTGATATGCGAAAAAGGCCATGAACACGCATTAGCTATAGCTGCTAGTAGCTTGCAAAGAAACGGGCTGATGAAACTGAAACAGCAAATTATCGAGGGCCATGTTTTAGAAAACTCTTTATTGGGTTAATCATGTATTTACTCTCTTGAACTGAAATAAAGAACATTGTATTGTATTGTATTGTATTGTATCGATTGATTTCTACAATATTTTTCAAAGGAGTTCCCGCGCTCAATCTTGTAATATGTGCCATAATTAAGTCACTCACTTTTTAAATTACAATGTGAGCTTGGTTTTTCTTGCCAGTGAGTGGTTATCCTTAGTCGCTGTTAGGTTTTGATGGTGTTTCAATTCAAGAGTAACACGCATTTATGACACCGTCGCCTCAATTTTTTAGTTCAATTTTTTCTTGAAACACAAACAGAAATGTAAAAATGCATTATTCCCCTCCTTTCCACGTACGTGTATGTGTGCGGTATCAACTGAGATCAGATCAAACTCGTGCAAAGGAGGTGGAGATTGTAGCTGAGTTGATTCCTTGATGACGAATCCCTTAAGCACATACGGCTTCCGGTCAGTGTTTTACACAGAAACGAAGTTATCACTTTCATGCCTAGTTATTCTTAAATTAACGGGGTTACGTACAAGAGAAGGGCAAAGGTGGTTTCAGCCCTTGTCAATATCTTCAGCAGCTCGTTTTCTTATCGCACAAAGTCGGAGCTACACAACTGTTTCACGAAACTTACATCTCTGTGAGGCGAGCTAAAATATTATGGCAGAAAAGTTCGTCTTCCTGTTTATGAAGTGGCGGAAGTACGTCAATAGGACCGGATATCTAATCGTGCTGCACGCACGACTAAGTTTTTATTTTCGTCATGATTCAATGATTCATGGCTGTGATCCCCGCGAGCGGATGGATAGGGGGAGGGGGGAGAGTTACCGCTTATAATTTCTATGGGAGTGCTGGACACGATTCTCCAGCCTCTTACCCTATTGCTGGGCAAAATAACCTATTTCCGACCTGAAATAAAATATTACACCCTCATTGTGTTTACACTTTCTCAATGTGTGGTCTCCTTAGTGTCCCATTCATGTGAGCTATAGAGGTGTCCTCCTCCTCTCCCCCCGGTATCCGTGTGCTTCGTTTGACATGGTGTCAGTGTAAAGTGACTTGACGAACAGATCTCTCCGACACAAGTTCAAACACCCTGGATCGTTTAGAGGGTTCGCTCCACCGTCATGGCGTTATCCAGGCCACAGTTGACAGTCAGCCAAAAGGATGTCTTTGACGCTTCAGCTGCCATTCAAACTTACGTTGCAGCCATCCTTAGACAGCCAGATATAAAGCTCGACCAGCTGCCCGACTTGCCTAACTTCCAAAAGACAGCGAGACAACACGCTCAGAACTGGTTGGACCAAGTGTTGCCTGCCATTATCACAACGAATGCTGACATTATCGATTATGCCAATGGATTTGCTTCGTTCTACAGGACTCTCGTGAAACTTGCTGAAAAGATCGACACCGGAGACAAAAGTCAGCTAAAAGAATTTACTCAGGGATTGGTACTTCTGAGGAACAACTTAAATCGCAAAGATGAACAGGCCAAATACACCGAAATCCAGCTTCAAAACTTCAAAGCCGAAGTCTCCGTCGACCACGAGCATTTCAACAAGGAGGCAACGAAGGTGACCAAAAAGCTTGAAGGAAGTGATGGCGATTTAGCAAAGATCAGCTCACGAATTGATACGATCGACGGTCAACTCCATACTTACATCGGAGTCATGGCTGGAGGAGGAGTTGGCAAGGTTGGAGGAATCGTGATCATTCTTGTCGGCTCATTTGCCGAGATCGTAACGGAAGGGCTTTCTGCAGGATTAATTTTGGCGGGCACTGGACTGCTCGTTGGAGGGATTGGCTCAGAGATCACTGGAGGAGTTGAATATGCTCTAGCACTCAAGGAAAGGAAAGCGCTGCAGGAAAAGCTGACCAACGACAAGCAAGGCATTGGAATCTTAAAACACGTCCAAAGCCTTCTGAATGGTTTTGTCAATCAAACAGACAGTGCAATTCGTGCGGTGGGCGCTCTCCGAGAGGACTGGAGCCTTCTCTCAGATGACTTAGATAAAGTGATCGCAGACCTTGATAAAGATCCAGGGCCGCTGGGTTTGGTGGCCATGTTGAACAAAGCAAAAGGTGATTGGGAGAACGCGTTAGATCTCGCTCGAAGGATGCAACCGCGTGGCAACATGCCCGTGAAAGCAGTTGGTAATATGATGGACGTGATCCACACCGGTAATAAGCCACAACGCGCACCCCAGACCGTCTACAGTTATCGTGCATGTCAGACGAAGCAGAATTGACTGACAGCTCAAGTGACAAGATTCAGTTTTAGAATTTTTTAAGAAGCAGTTGTATCATTTTTCAGGATTTTGTTTTGAGGTAATGTTGCTTGTATTCCATTTCGCGCTTGTTTAAAAGAAGACGCGTTTGCGTGAGAGAAACCTTCATTATTAATGACTAAGCGATAGGCCATTCTACCTGAGAACTAAATAAAGTTACTCTTGTCATAATGATCAAATGTCTATTGAAGTTCGTCACGTTTCCGATGCCTGAGTGTACGTGTCAGTATTTCGAAACTAAGCTGGTCGACAGCGTCGGAGATTGTGGGGCATAGCGATGCACAATCGCGTGATAAATCAGGTTCCGATAAATCATCATTTGTAGCAAGCGGATCACTCCCTTTTTTCTTTATTTGTTTGTTTGAGGGGGTTCGTCCTGGTAGTGTCGATATATCGTTGACATGTTCGAATAGAAACGTCGGTTCATCTGTCCTTATCGGCATAACTTACATCCTGTAGGTGAGAGCAGACACTCCGCTCGCTCGATTGAGGACGCTCATGTCGATATCCCAAGCAAACAGAGAACAAGAACATTTCCTACTTGGCACTTCGAAAACTTATCCAAAGAGATGGTTCTAGATTTGATCTGTGGATATGTGCCAAAATAAAGTAAGTTACTTCCTAACTTACAATGGAACATGTTTTTTCTTGTCAGGGAGTGGTTATCGTTGACGGTATTTCGATTCATGAGTGACACACATTTTTTAGACTGTCACCTCTATTTTTACAACAATTTTGTTTTGAAACACAAACAGGAACACAAACAGGAATGCATTTGGATTGACGTGATTTAAACAGGAGATTTGTGATAATTGTTAGGGCATGATCACGCCAAGACCGCACCTAAACAATTTTCACTTCAGAAAGGAAATCTTGCCAGTGTGCATTTGAATGTCAATCCACTTGTTTTGTAGAGATAATTGAATTTCTTAGACGCCAAGTGTTCGTCGTAATCTTTGATATATTCTCTACACCAAACGCTCCACAGTGCTCATTTATTATTCCTCTCCTTTCGACGTACGTGTTACTTACACGTCATTAGCTGAGGTCAGGTCAAACTCATGCAAAGGAGGCGGAGATTATATTTGCGTTGGCTCCTGATGACGAACTCTTGGAGCATACACAGCTTTCGGTCAGTGTTTTACGCAAAAAGGAAGTTATCACGCTACAAACGCTGACCGAAGTCAAGCCCCACTAATCGAACTGTTTGGTAATCGAACTCAATGGAGCATAATCCGTATTTCGATATTCAAATAGAATCGAAACAAAAAATTTGTGTGAGAGAATTCGATTGCTTTCGATCTGTGAACTAAGTCAACTGTATAGGATGTATAGGATTTTCAACCACACGAGCGGCTTAAAATATTGTGACAGCTCGTCAGTAATTACAACATCTGAGCTCAGATGACGCCTGAAAATAAGTATTCAAGAGCACGAGAAGATTCAATCTCTTTGAGTTTGGTGTGTTGTCACGGTTCTAAAATCGAACTAAATCGCGTGATTTATTTCGATTAAGTTCGATTGAGTTCGATTAATTAATGGTTAGATTACTAACGTCGAGAGTTTCAAGTTTCGCTACTTTGAATATAGTATAGTAACTTCCCGATTCGATGAACCCTAACGCACAACCGAAACGCTAAACAACAATGGTTATGCCACCAGGAACTGCCTTAATAACATTTTTTCTTGTAAATTGCTCGCGGTTTACACATTGTATTTTGCTGCTGCCCTTCACGACAAGCCGATTACACCGCTGTTGTTCTTAGACTATGATTAAAAACACGTTAAATTAAGAATCCTTCGGCTAGTTTATTCCGGCTTTTTTTAAGGGGCAATCATTTAAAACAAAAAAAGTTTTATCGCCAGTCCTGTGGGAAGAATGGACTTAGCGTTCTTTTACCGTCAGTTCAAGCTTGCCTGGGTGGCTTCGCTTGTTTAAAAGCATCCTGCAGATTTTTAAACAATTTAGTAGGCACTTTGCCATCAGGCTGCAGCTTCTTCGCCTGATCCAGAGCAACTCGCCAATCCAGTTTGGCACGGTTTAGTTCATCCAGTATCCAGTTGGAAGGGATGTTGGGATCAATATCATTAATGGCAGTTATCAGCTCTTCAAGATCTGCATCAAGTGTCTGCCTGGCAGCTTTCAGGCTAGTGGCCGCCATGATGGCATTTTCCAAACCATCCACAAAACCTTTCAATTGGTGCTTGGTAGTTTTAAGACCGACCAGCTTATCTTATCGCCTTGTAATTTCTCCTGCACTTTTCTTTTTTCGTCGATCTTCGAACTGTAATCGGTGCCTGCTAGAGTTTCCATTATTGTGCCACCAGAGAAAACCACGATACCTCCTCCAATCAATGCTGTCGTGGCACCACCTGAGAGGATCTCGGTGACTGCACCGAAAGCGATCATTACAATTCCAGCGACTATCGCCACGGCTCCACCAGCCATTAGGTCGATGTCCTTTTTTATTGCATCGTGGATCGCATCAAGCTGATCACTCAGCGCCTTGATTTCGCCACTGTCACCCTCAATCTTTACTGCTGCTTGGTTGACATCCGAGTGGAAGTTTTGATAGTCGGTATTGAGGTTCGCGTGGAACGTCGATAGATCTTTGACTACAACTTGCACGTTTGCATTTTTTTGTTTGATAGTGGTTCCAAGTAGTTTCAATACCTCGATCAAATTTTTCTTTGATTGTGGAGTTTTGATATCTTTCGCGTACGTCACCAAGTCGTTGTAGAATGAGTCAAACTTGTTGGCGTAGTCAATGATGTCAGCATCTGTTTTGGACATCAATGGCAGGATCGTATCGTTCCAGTTGTTAGCATGATCCCGAGCAGTTTTCTGATGCGCAGAAAGGTTTGGAAGAGCATCGAGTTCCAGATCTGGTTGCTGCAGAATAATCGACACATAGGTCTGAATAACGGTAGACGCCTTGGTTACCTCGACTTGCTTGTCTTTAATTGCTGGGTTGGAAAGAGACCCCTTTTTTTCGGAACTCATGTTTGTGCTAAACCGACAGAGTGAAGTCAGTCCCGTGATTAGATTCGCCGAGTTGTCTGCTTCTTTAAAAAGATCTTCCCACACAACGGAGCTACTTGTGGTGCTGACATGTTTGTCATTTACCAATCAATGTCAATTTAGGCATCCGTTCTAGCCTGCCGGTTCTGCTCTCCTCTCGAATGTGGAGCGTATACGTCTTTTACAAGTTGTAGCTAGTACTTTCCAATCTGGTGTAAGGAAACCATTCAAAGCTAAGCTCACTTCCAATGAGAAGTTTTTGAACCATATGCGTTATAGAAACCATACGCTACCTCGGTCACGTAAACATGATAACAGGAAATTGCGACATAGGCCCTGAACACGCACAAGCTCTAACTGTCAATAACTTGCCAACGGCTTATACTATTTTGCGAAACAAAACGAAACGAAACGAAATTGTACTATTTTGCGAAACGAAACGAAACGAAACGAAATTTTGCGAAATGGCGTTTTTTCGCCTTTATTTAGAAAATATGTCCTCCTCGTCTGAAACAAAGTGTTTTCACTAATAAAATGATCAATATTTCTAAAAGCTTGCTCACCTCTCATTTTATTGACCATAGTAGAATTCGTTTCGCAAAGTAGTAATTTTTGACAGAATTACTATTTTTCGAAATGGCGTTTTTTCACCTTTATTCGCCAAATATGTCCTCTTCGTCCGAAACAAAATGTTTCCACCAATAAAATGATCAATGTTTCTAAGAGCCTGGTCACCTCTCATTTTATTGACCATAACAGAACTCGTTTCGCAAAGTAGTAATTTTGACAGAATTACTATTTTGCGAAATGGCGTTTTTTCGCCTTTATTTAGCAAATATG